AAAAAGCGTCGCTCCATCGTCTCGAAGATAAAGCCCCCGTGTTTCTTCGTTGCATTTCATTTCTGCTCGATGAAACTGATTGGCAGTCCTCAATTGTTCTTTCTTAGGTTATCAGGAAAGGAAAGCAACTATTGGACTTTGAAAAAGGGGAAATCGTCACAAAATAAGAAAAATTAAGCGCCAGGTGGTCACATCGCGCGAAAATTTCGTCGAGCTACGGAATGATTAGCAATTTCTTTTTGAATCCTGTAGAAAATGGAACTTAGAAGGGCTCCGGACGTTATTCTTCGCTTTTTGATTAAGATAAACGCGACATTATGAGAACAGCACCAAATTTCACCAAGGCGTGTTCGGAAATTGAGTCTTCTTTAGAACTTAATCTCCTACTGGATAGTGCTGGGAATGCAATAAACAACTTCCAAGATCGTTCTCAGCTGAATATGAAAAGGACGGTGATTTTGAAAAGAAACCGTCGCGAAAACCGAGTCATTTTTGCAAGGGAAGTCTGACCAAGCCAACCGGAGCAGGATCCATTTTCGGCCTGTTCTGTTTTACTTCTTTTCTGCCATTCTTTTAACGCGTTTCGCTCCAGATGGTTCCGTCCTGGAGTAATGCTTTTATTAGCGAGGAAAAACTCGAAGGTAAAGCAGATAAGAAGTAAAACAGAACAGGCCGAAAATGGATCCTGCTCCGGTTGGCTTGGTCAGACTTCCCTTGCAAAAATGACTCGGTTTTCGCGACGGTTTCTTTTCAAAATCACCGTCTTTTTCATATTCCGCTGAAGAACGATCTTGGAAGTTATTTATTGCATACCCAGCACTATCCAGTAGGAGATTAAGTTTTAAAGAAGACTCAACTTCCGAACACGCCTTGGTGAAATTTGGTGCTGTTCTCATAATGTCGCGTTTATCTTAATCAAAAAGCAAAGAATAACGTCCGGAGCCCTTCTAAGTTCCATACAGGATTCAAAAAGAAATTGCTAATCATTCCGTAGTTTCGACGAAATTTTCGCGCGATGTGACCACCTGGCGCTTAATTTTTCTTTTTTTGTGACGATTTCCCTTTTTCGAAGTCCAATAGTTGCTTTCCTTTCCTGATAACCTAAGAAAGAACAATTGAGGACTGCCAATCAGTTTCATCGAGCAGAAATGAAATGCAACGAAGAAACACGGGGTGGCTGTATCATTTGGAGACGATGGAAAAGCGACCCTTTCTGGAAAAATTAGGATAAAATTTTTTCGCATTTTCAACCTGGAATTTTGTGTTGATTTTCGAATTCGCGACCAAATTTGACACAGTTTTCCTGTTGGACATTTTTCCAGAAACTTTGTGGAATTCGAGATTTTGAACAATTTCTAGGTGGCTGTATAATTAGGAG